AGATAGATAGATAGATAGATAGATAGATAGATAGATAGATAGATAGACATACTTTATCTATCCCAAGATAAGCCAGTATTTCAATTGATAATATTAAATTTGCTTGTTTAATTTAATCCGACTTATGTTAACAAACATAAACTGTGATAGAGCATGTGATCCATCGCATTTTGTTACAATATCCAAAATTAAAATCATGGCGTGGCAAAACAAATTCCATTCTAATATGCTTTCAAACCTTAACCAATTTCTGCATCATCATCTATTTTTATAAACAATCCATGGGAAAAATGAAAAAATACAAACATAGGTTCAAAGTAAGTTTAAGGGAGGCCCACATTACCTCTGGTTTATGTGCTTAATTCTATGCACAGTTCCAAAACCTCTACATATTACATTTAAAGAACAGTCTGGGCCCTGAAGCATTGGAGACATTACCCATCCTTATTTTAACTTAATACTCTTTTTATTAAGTAAGAGGATGCAGCATTTCATATGTAGACTACTACTGCCGACTATCACTCCAGGCACTGCTGTCATGATTTCCTGTCCATATCTGGGTCAGTGTACAAGCCATACAGTGCAGCACTTGGAAATGCTTTAACAGAGGCTCACATTTGGGCTAAAAAGAAAAATAAGTTAGAAAAAAAAATAAACAAATATTGTCTTATTCATATCAAACATATAGACTATGCCGAACAATGTTTCTGCTGTGTGGTGTCTTGCAGCAGTTTTCATCATATAACAACCTAAGGCAAATTATATTGAAATCTTTTAACATGTCTGGCAATGTCAAAAGTTTTTTTTCATTATGATATGTGATCTTCAAGCATCTTGTGGCCTCAAGTTGATTCAACTCCAGGTTCTTGGGATGGGCTGATTTTCAAAAGTTAATTCCTTGCCAACACAGTTTGCAGCCAAACTGGAGCATGTTTTACAGAGGATTTCACAGGTTTACTGCCCTGAATAAATATTTGCTTTCAAGCATGTTCGGGTTTGTGTCTTTTTCACAGTTACCTTCACTAGACATGCACTCGTCATAAAACAGATTAAGAACAAATACTTCAGTCGTCAAGGGCGGATGGCCTTGACGGCATGTATATGATACAACAGTCCATCTCTGCTTCCTGTGATACATGAATTGAGCTGCTTTTGGCAAATCATCACTGGACAGTGTGGATTTCCCTGGTTCATGATGCATTAATGCATTGCAGTGGGAAAGGATTGGGACACAGTCTTGAATCAAAGCATCACAGTGTACTTGACAACTTTGATCATCTCTCTGATCACTGATCAGATCACAAAACAACTATCAACACAAGCGGTTCCATTTAGTGTGTTTTTTTTCCCACTTGTTAAGACATGTTCTTACGCCACCTCTTTATATAGAGTATATTAGTGTTACTATTCACATAGTCTTATGCAACGGACTAGTATTTTTGCAACCGTCTGACATGTCATTGCTGGAAAAAGAATGCAGCAGAAAAACTTTCTTGCACGATAGTTTGGATATGTCATGTGTTTGTATCTCTGGTGAACCCAGTAACTCAAACGTAGAGCTGGCACATCTCAGTGAAGTGAATTTGCTCAATTTATTAATACATTTGAACTAATAATCCAGCTCAGGATCTCCAAAGTCAGGGAAAAGTTCTCGGTGAGGAAGGACTCTATAACCCACACTAATTTCTGAATTGGCTCCATATTTTCAGTAAAGAAGACACAATTAAGTTTGTTTTGCACAGAACGAGGCGGGAGCTGGAGCATGTGTAGAGTTGTGGGAATCTGTTATTTATGTGAATCTGTCAGGTAGGCTAACAGAAAGACAGGCTGGGAGTTGCTTTATACCATAAATCATTTCCTAATCTGACATCTGGAATAACTTTATTTGCAAGATGTCTTGCATACATTTTGCACAGATGGAAAAGCACTGGTAGATTTGATAATGATGTCTTATTTTCATTGAATGTCTCAGTGAAAAAATGTTATTAAAGACTAGAGAAGATTGCTATATATATCATATCATATCATATCATGTATGTCATAACAAATGTGACATGCAAATGTCAAATATTGTAAAGTACATTGTATCCAAGACCATTGCAGATCAACATGGGTGGGCTGTAAAGAGCAAAAGTATTAGCAGAAGAACTGTCAGATCCAGTCAAGATAAAAGAGAGGGAAGAAAAATAAGTTTGATGCACAGCTTTCCATGCAAGCCAATCATCTTATAATGAGAGAGTCCATTGATCTATGGGTCACAAAGAAGATAGATATATTGTACAAAGAGGTGGTTTGCTGTCCACACTGACCGAATATAGTCAGTTCTTGCTCAGTGGCTCATGCATTCTTTTTTTGTGGATCATAAAGAGTTGCTCTGACATCGGACTGAGGTAACATGTAAGATGAGAGTTTTATTTCCATAAATTACATGTTAATATCTAAATCTTGCTTTTCACTATGTGTCTCTAAGTAATACTGATACTAATGTGGATACCTAAAGGGATACATCATCTTCAACGACACACTGCTGTTTAAACGGTCACTTTGAAACACAAAAATCCCATTTTGGATATTCTTGGGAGACTGAATTCCTCTAAAAACACAGGCTGGCCTGAATTGGCTGTGGTTTGACCGCCTGTCAAACGGGAACCCGGCGGGTTTTAGGACCCAGCGGAGCAGCTCAGTCGGAGAGGCTAGTACCATGGCTGGTTTTACCTGGGACCACCGAGGAGCTATGTTAACCGTTTAAGCTAACTAGCAGCCGCTTCTCAAAGCGTTGTACACATGCTGCACTGTCGGTGTTTTGTTTGTTTTTTTATCGTGACGCCCCCCCAGCAGTCGTAGCTGCTAATGGAGCACATTCGACTACCAAAGGTAACCAATGGGTTTTAACAGTGGTGGAGGAGGAGGATGGGGTTAGCTTCATTTCCGCACTGTACCTTTTGGCTAAACCCGCTGGACACGTCACTTCCACCAACAGTAGCAGGCTCTTGTTTAGTTCTTTTTTTGTTTAATGAAGATAAATGTTTAAATAAACGAGCAGGTTCGTTTAAAACCGCTTTTTTTGCTGTGTCAGCCACGTCGGCAAAGCCGTGCTCCTGCTGGGTGTGTTTTGACTGTCAGAGTCGCTGACACAGCTATGGTGCATGTGGATGGATGAAGCTGGATGATGCCATTCTTCTTCTTCTTTTCCCCTTCCTCCCCTCCAGGTGGAAAATGTCAGGCTGGTTGACAGAGTCTCGCCCAGGAGGAACAGAGTGGGCACCCTGTACCTGACCGCCACGCACAGCATCTTTGTGGAGAATGAGGACGGGGAGCGCAGTGAGACCTGGGTAAGCCTCAGCTCATCCAGCTGGAGGAGCACAAACCAGATAACACTTTGAAGTGTTGGAGATGCTCAGTGGGTGAAAACGCATCTTCCTCAGGTGCTTCACAGTCTGGTGTGCAGTGTGGAGAAGCAGGCTGCCACCGCCTCGGGGTGCCCTTTGCTCATACGCTGTAAGAACTTCCAGGTTCTTCACTTCAGCATTCCCAAAGAGTCGGAATGCCAGGATGTTCACCTGTCTCTGCAGCGGCTCTCCCAGCCTGGTGAGCAAAAGAGTCAAAGCTCAAATCAGTATGGAGATTTTTTTTTAATGTGAATGCTAAGCCCATTGTTGCACCTTTCAGAGAAATACAAGGAGCTGTACTGCTTTTCCTATAAACCGAACATCGATGAGGAGGAGAGGCGACTGGAATGGACCTTGGTGGACGTCGGAGCCGATTATAGCAGAATGGGACTTCCAAACTCTCTGTGGAAACGCTCCTCCGTCAACCAAAATTACAAGGTCAGTAGGCTGACTTCAGTAGAGCAGTTTCATCCTAATATGGCCACTGAAGTTTTTTTTTCTTTTTGTCTTGTTTTTTTAAGGTGAGCGACACTTACCCCGCTGACTTGTTTGTGCCGGAGTCTGCCACACCGCCTGTCATCGTCGGCAGCTCCAAGTTCAGAAGCAGGGGCAGATTTCCCACATTATCATACTACTCTAAAGAAAACCACGTAAGTCTGCTGCCTGTCCTTTCTCTGTTTTTGTTTTAATCAGTTTTTCATAAACCTGAAGAAACTTTGGCATGTCAGACTGTCAGAGAAGGGTTGTTGCCACAGCAATAACAAGATTAATCCTCCCAAACAGGGATAGCATGACCCCCCCCCACCACCACCACCACCACCATATTATATGGTCATATTGTAACAACCTTGTGGAGTGGTTGCCTCTACATATCTGATTCTGATTAAATGGATCTCTGCAGTGCGTTTTGAGCTCTGCACAGACCTGCTGATGATGCCTTGATATGAATCAGGCAGGTTGAAGCAGGGAATCTTCTGACCTTCTAAAGTCTGCAGGACAGAGGCCCTCGAGGGCTGGCTTTTGACACCTAGAGGAAACTCAGTGGCAGATATCAGCGAAGCTTTCATTTATCACCCCAAGTGAGAGTCAGCTTAGATGGTGTTCTGCAAAGCAGGGGTAGCACAGAATAATGATACAGTGTGTGGAAAAGGTTCTGGATAGGAAACATTCTTGTGTTAATAAGGGCATAAGAAGTGGCAAAACTTATGTAATCTTCTTAACACTAAAGAATTCCACATTACAAGCTTTTGCAACATTATGCACTCTTTGTTAAGGAACTCATGATATCATTTGGAAAGGTTGATGTCAAATCATAAAATGTAACTCTTTGTACATTCACATTTAACTTGGAAGAGCACGTTGCCAAAAAATATGCAAATTTTGCTGAAAGTTTGTCCGAAAATACTTCATGGATCATGATATTAAAGGCCACTTTTTTAAAGTCTTGGAGACCCCATACCCTTTCAGTCAAATATCTTCAGAGAAATCTAATCTGTTTAGTTACTTTGAAGGAAAATCTTGAATTGTTCTGGTACTAAATTTCAAAACTGAAAAACTAGGGTCATACTTGCACTGTTCAATAATGCCTGGAAATTCCTCACTCCTTATGAATACATTTGCAATATATTTTTCACACCAATCTTTATCCTAGGAATGATCAAATCTTACCCTGACAAGTTGGTAATGACTCGCTGATTGCTGATTGTGTGTGTGTCCCAGCTCCTCGGGGACATTAGCCGTTGGGATAATTCTAATCAGGCACGCCGGGGTTAGCCTGAGCATTCATGGCCTTGATTGGACACTTGGGAGCACTTTTTATGTCGTCTGGATCAGCTTCCCAGAGTTAGGGGTCATGCTTTTGAGCCATGGGGAAAACTATAAAAACGTTTTCTGGCCCTCTCCCTTGTGACCTTTAAATAGAGATATGGAAATCTGTTGGGTTGATTGATGCAAATAAAGGCGGGCAGGGAAAGGAACTGAAAGCTTGTGCTCTGTTTTTCACGTATTTAACATTTTTTGGGGCTGAAGTTTACTTTAAGCCACCTGACGATCAAACGGCGCTGTATGAAGCTAGAGGTCCTCTTGTCTCTCTCCAGGCCGCCATCTGCCGCAGCAGCCAGCCGCTGTCGGGCTTCAGCGCCCGCTGCCTGGAGGACGAGCAGATGCTGGAGGCCATCCTCAGGTCCAACCCCCGCAGCGACTTCATGTATGTGGTGGACACCAGGCCTAAGGTGAGCCCCTTTTGTGTCCCGTGCTGTGTGTTCAGGTGTGGCGCTCTCTCCCCACCGGCTGCATTTTGCCAGCTGCGCGTCCTCACAGCGGAGGCTTCCTTAACATTCTGACTCCGCGCTGACCCGTGGGGATCCAATGTGCTTTGCGCCTCTCCAGCTGAACGCCATCGCCAACCGGGCCGCGGGGAAAGGCTACGAGAACGAGGACAACTACTCCAACATTAAGTTCCAGTTCATGGGCATTGAGAACATCCACGTCATGAGAAACAGCCACCAGAAAATGCTGGAAGGTAACCGTATCCTCCCGCGCTCAGATTTGTGAGGCATTAGCCGCAGAAACAGGTCAGAGGCCACAGCATCCTCTTCTCGTCTGTGGTGAATTCACACTCACCGCAGTGCCGATGCAGCAAAGCATGAATTATAGATCAGTGTTCTTTTTTTGGGGGGGGCGTTTTGTTTTAATCTGCAGCCTGTTGACAGTTCTGACACAGAAATGAACGAGACCCCTCTGCCCCCTCCCTCCTCCTCCTCCCCCGGTGGTTTCCATTGTGCGCATTCATGCAGACTGAACCATGCGATCGGGCCTCAAACGGGCCCACAGGAGAGTTTCTGGGTATTGTGCTGGGGCGCTCCGAGGACGGCTTTGAATCCATCTGGATTTTATTTCAGCGCTATTTTTGTTTCCCCGAGCAGACGGTCCCGGACATTATTCCCCCAAAGAGAGGCAGAGGGCGTGAGAATGATGTGAATTTAAGTCTGAGGAGTTATAGCTGTTCTTAGCCGTGATAACTCTCTGCCCCCCCGGCAGCACACGGGAAGTGTTTCAAAGCAAGGAGAGTGCTCCAGCCCTTTGGAGGCCGCTGGCCTCTCCCAACCCAGTTGCACTATTTAATAAGATTTAGAGGACAAACATTTCTGCCGAGTGGAGGTCCGCTCACCTCAGTGCTCAAAAGCCGAAGGCTGAGTGAACCCGTTCACCTGCTCCTCTGAGTGTTCCCAGTTATCTGAGGTGAACTGAGAGTGCGTGTGTGACTCATTGTACTCGTCCTATTTGGGTTTGTGATAAATGATTTCAAATGCGTGGAAAACATCAGCCTCCTGGTGGCGTTGGAGGAAGACTTCATCAGCAGGATTTCTCTTCAGGGGAATTGTGTTTTCAGCAGTTTATTTGTAAGGGTCATTTGGTCTTTTTCTGTTTTTTTTCTCTTTAAGGAGAGTTAGTTTGTGTAGAAGAAGAGGAAGGAAAACCTGCATTTAAGATGTGAACACTCAGCTTTCCGTTAGTAAAAAAGAAGAAAGAATATCATCATCAAGTTGAAAAGCGATTCTCTTGCGTATGGTTCAAGTTGCCTCTTAGTGTCCCCTATGTATGACTTTTCCCTACCTGATTTATTGTATCTGAGCAATCACTCTAGAGGGACAATTAGAGCCTCTAATTAACCAAAGATGCATGTTTTTGGACTGTAGCCAAATGAATAATCACAAGTCAAGATACAGAAAACAAGAAAAACTAATTCCATGCAAGCCTGAGCAAGTGTGATGTTTAATAAAGGCTGATAATCAGGTATGCGCCTTGTTTCCTGCCAGTCAGACATGTGCTGTGGTTACAGTGTGCGAGCTGCGCTCACCGTCCATGTCGAGCTTCCTGGAGGGTCTCGAGAGCTCAGGCTGGCTGAAGCACATCAAAGCGGTTTTGGACGCTGGCATCTTCATCGCCAAGGTCAGTCTGGAGTCTAATCCCCACTGTCTGCTTCATCACTTCTCTCGATATTCTTTCAGAAGGTTGTGCCTTTTCCGCTCTGTGTGTTTGTGTGATGCAGAAATTGTACTCTGTAGGGATAGACAGCTGGATGACTTTATTTATACCTGAAGGGAAATTAGGTCATTATAGAAGTCTGCAAGTCTTGCAAATGCAAATACAAGTATAGCGGAATATTCATGTATAAATGAGCAGACAAATGAGAATATTGTTTAAATATTATATGCAATATCAGTACAGTTTAGTTAACACGTGTCACGTGTGATATGAAGTAAATGTGTCAGTAATTTGGAGTAAAAGGTGACAGATTCAGCCCAGTTCTGGGATAGTTACAATGTCTTGTTGCAGTTAGGAGGAATGATGTCCAGTATCATTCCTTGGAGCAGCAGGGTGGAACTAGTCTGTTGCTGAAGTTGTTCTTTAGTTAGCCCAGTGTTTTAGTGGAGGGGGTGAGCGGGATTGTCCATGATTGCCTGCAGGTTCTCCAGCATCCCGTCGTCCATCACCACCTCCAACGTCGCAAAATCGGTGCTAACAACACAATCTGCTTTACTATTGGGAATAATTGCTCTGCACTCAGCTGTCTGGTCTGGCCACTCAAAGTATTGGTAGAAAAATCAGGTTCCACTGGTTCATCTAGGTCTCCAAGTACGGTTCGCACAAATCCACGCCTGAACGAAAACAACCAATCAGAATTAGGAGGAGTTCCCAGCGTGTACCTGTTGCCACATGTGGCCACATGCAGCCTTGTTGCCCCATGGAGGCTCTTATGTATTGAAGTCAAAACTTCCTACTGGATCTTTTAGAAGCAAGCTTGTGACTAAACAGTCACAAAATAATAATTCAACTTGAAAAATTCCTCCTCTCACGGTTGCAAAATTTGGAGTCATTTTCACTAATGGCAGCAGATTGTAGCAAAGATTTATAAGAATGTAATCTTGCATTTGTTCACCTCTTTAGGAGAAAGCAGATGTCTGACTGCGCTGCAGACATTCCTTGCTGTTGTGGTTGTGAGTTGCAGCATTGGCGCGATCTGCAAGTTTGATAACTCCACCGGCATGTTGATCAAGGCAGGATGGAGGCTGAAAGGACGGTGCGGCTCTGTAGGAAAGCGGTTGAAAAGTAGCTCTGTGTGTGAGTGTGTATGTGGCTTGTAGTGTAAAAATGCCGTATTTTCTTAGAGTTGTACTCCAATCTTGTGAGAAACTGCTTGTAGCCTCCATTTAGTGGATGTGGAAAAGATCTACAGATGGGAGTTTAGAGTGGACATAAGACTTGGGAAAAATTCACAATGACTGATATTCATTCAAATGAAGATGTCAGGGGACATCTATGCCTGTGTGTATTCAGTTATATAGCAATCTACCATACACGATATCTTATATAATTAGAGTCTGACATCCTAAAAGCCAGCTGGAGATATAACAGGGATGCTGGTTTGGATATATTCTATCTTATGGATGTGTCTATGTGTGCAGGCCGTTGCAGAAGAAGGTGTCAGCGTCCTGGTTCACTGTTCAGACGGCTGGGACCGCACTGCCCAGGTGTGCTCAGTAGCCTCCGTGTTGCTAGATCCTTACTACAGGACCCTCAGAGGACTCATGGTGAATATGCCACAGCTTATTCTTTTATTTTCAGTTATGGTGTGGGTGTCAGCACTGTGAATCATGTCATACTGAATTTAATCATCTTTTTTCCCCCTGAGCTTAGGTCCTCATTGAAAAAGACTGGATCTCATTTGGACACAAGTTCTCTCACAGGTTTGACTGTGAATCATTGTTTTCTTCTTTTTCTTAAAAACATAACGATTTGGAGGCCGCGATGGGATCTTATTGTATCCCATTCCTTTCCAGATGCGGCCACTTGGTTGGAGACACAAAAGAGGTGTCTCCCATCATCGATCAGTTCCTGGAGTGCTTGTGGCAGCTGATGGAGCAGTTCCCCTGTGCCTTTGAATACAATGAGCGGCTCCTCGTCAGCATTCACAACCACATCTACTCCTGCCAGTATGGCAACTTTATCGGCAACAACCAAAAGGAGAGGATAGGCATTGGGTAAGGTTTAAACCCTTTCGCAGCTATCCTTTTTTTCTTGTTTTTTCCCTGGTTTCGCACAGAAATCTGTTCTGACGGAAGATGAACAAATAAAACAATGTCAGTGGCAGTCATAGAAAACATCATCTGCTGTTTTAATGTGTCTTTCCTGCAGAGTGTGTGAGAAGACTCACTCTTTATGGAGTTATCTATGGACCAACCGTGCAGACTACACCAACCCTCTGTACAGGCCCAACCACAGCCAGACCCAAGGGCTCCTCCGACCCTCCAGTGCCCCCTACTGCTTTAAGTAGGTTTTCATCTGCCGCATGGTAAAACATTCACTTTGCACTCATGAGCTGTCTTCATGAAGTTTGAGTTTTTCTTTGAAGATTAGAAGAGGGCGGGGAGCTTTTTTTTAATTGATTCATTCTTAATCTTTCTACAGGTTTTGGAGAGGGCTATACAACCGTTTTGACCGTGGGATGCATCCACGACAGTCTTTGGAGGATTATCTGAGGGCCATCCAGGAGGAGACGCAGCAACTGGAGGAGCAGCTGACTTCACACAAACAGGTAAGATAGTCTGAGGGAAGGGGAAAAAAAACACTCCGTGGTTGTTCTCTGTCGGTCTCAGCTGACTTTGGCTTTGTGTCTTACGTGACGAACAGAAGATAACTCAGCTGGAGCACGAGCAGGACTGGAGCACTCCGCGGAAAGCTAACACGTTCGACAAGAGCCCCACGGTCTGGGCCCCAGGTAGCAACCTCGCCCTGGCCAACACCCCTCAGGACTACACCGGCGGGTTCATCGCCAGTAGCCCCCACACTCCCAAAGCGCCGGACGGTAGCCTGATCCTGCCGCCGGAGGACCCCAAGCAAACGGCCGACTCCAACTTCTCCAACAGCGACCAGGAGTCCGGGATCGCTGACCTGAGCTGCCGTTCTCCTCTCAGCGAGGATAGCACCAGAGATCCAGACTCTGACGAGGCTGCCTACTCCGCTGCCTGAGCAGATTCAGCGTCCCCTTGAGGATGAAGCACTGAGCTGCCGTCAACCTATTGACACTGAACAAAAGCTACTCACTAAGCATCCTGATTCTTGGGTTATTAAGTCTTATATGGGTTACATATTTACTCCCACTTTAGTCGGCATGCATTTTGGATGAACCTTTCGTGTTGCCACAGAAACAAAGCTTCATTGTAGCAGCCTTTTGACTTCTTTTAGTGAGAGAAACTCAGCAACCAATATTCCTTCAAGACAAAAGAATTAGGAGGATTCCTAATAAGCCATAAATTAGTCGGTGCCTGCATTGAGCTACTTTCACCTTGTTGATTTATTACTTTTGCTTTATAGAGCAAGCTCTTTTTGTTATAGGCACACAGGTGCATTACAGCTGGTTTGTCTGAACTCAAAGGCAATGTTAGCTCCATTAAAAAAAAAAAAAGCTTAAAAAAACATGAGGTACAAAGGGAGCCAAACGAACACTGTAAGTGTGTTGATTATAAAATATATTTGGAAAAAAGGGGATTTGCAAATGGCTTGAAATGTAGAATTTTTAGCAACACGGACAGCTTTTTAAAGGGAGGCATATTTGCTGGATTTGAGCTTTAAGACATTGGCACATTACACGCTTTATGTTGCCAATGATCCTTCAGCACCGTGCTGCAGTGCACGGAGTGAATGATTAGACTGCTGAACCAGCAGTTTGAGCATGCGAACACTCAAACATGTTGCTGCTTTGGGAATCAGATTCCCAGCTGTTTTTTTTTTTTTTTTTACATTCAATAATTATTGTTTGTATATGTGTGCTAATGCAGAATTAGCTTTAAAACACTGAACAACATAGAACTTATCTAGCCAAGCATGGGAAAATATATTTTTATGATAAAGTTGTTGTTTTTTTCACCTGTAATTGTGTTTTAATTGCCTTTTTATTTGAGTCTGACAGATTAATATGTCTGGCTGAATGTTGTGTCGTGTATTTGAAGAAACGAGGTTTGCAGGGGTGGAATGATACAAGCAAAGACTTGGAAATCGTCCATTTTCTTGTGAGATTAGAATAGTTTCTGTCAGGTTGTTGTCACAGTTGTGTTGATGCATGACCTAAATGTTCCATTCATCCAGATAACAAATATACATGGTTGCAGTTGTTTGCAGATATGTGGATACATATATCTAAATATAAGACAAATTTAAATCCTGCATACTAAACAGACATTAAAATAAGCCTACTTCTAATGTAAATGTGCAGTTTATCTTTATTTTCTACACCAAGCCTACAGCTCCAAATGAAAAAAAAAAGTTGTTTAAAACATGTGTTTCCAAGAAACAGGGACTGGTTGACCAGTAAGATTTATAGTTAATACTTATGACAGTGGGAATCAAATCTAAGTGCTGGTATTAACATCCATGTTCCATATTTTATAATTTCATCAATAAGTCCCCTCTTACACTGTCCCTAATTCACTGGCCTGTTTGAAACTGAACATCTGCCCAGCTACACTGGCCTCGAACCAGGCCCCAAATCCCTTCCCCAATACCCCTATTTTGTTATATATATATATATATAAAAGATTCAGTGGAACGGGAGCTTGGGACGTCCGGCTTTATCAAGGGGTCGGAATATTATACGAACAGAATATGCAAGCCGAACCCACTAAAATTGAGTAGACTAGATATTTACTTAAATTTAATTAAATGTTGCTCGTTTTGGTGTCAAACAGGACGCCTAAATGTACACACACACGCACGTTTCCCTTTTACGTGATGACGTCACGTTGTAGGCTCCGCTGTGATGGCAGCCGTAGGTTGACATCAAAACGACAGTGAATATAAACTATTTCAAAGTTAGCGGAAACCCCCCTCCCACCCCCCCCGGCACAGTAACACAGAACACATTCACAGTTTTCCAGATATAGCACACGCCTAAACACACGCCCGCCCGGTTAGGGGGAACGGTAAGTTGCCGAAGCAGCATTCACCTTCGCTACACACCAAAAGCGTCGCCGGTGTGCACGCGTGTACGTCTCTGCGTTCGCAGCTTCTTACTCGCCTCTTTCACACCCCTTGCACACACTCGTGCTCATTTTTGTCGGGGCTAGCTTGTCCACCTGAGAAGCGTGCCGGCGCAGTAGACAAGCCCACTCCACCTACTCGCGTTAGCCAAATGCAGCAGCTGTAACCTGCTAGCAGTTAACAGGTAACCTAGCTAGCAGGCTGCTGCTGCTGCTGCAGAGAAGCCCGAGCTGCTGTTTATAGAGCCGGCGGTCAAGCACGTCGCCTGTGTCACCATTAGGTAGCTTCTAATTTTCCCCCATCGTGTTCTGGAGTTTTGTCAGCGTGTTACTCAGCGGTCAGTGTTTTCTCCAGCTGGGAAGAGGCACAAAGTTGCTCTGAGAAACTAATTAGCTTTCCACAGTGTTTCTGTGACTAGACAGGAGAAGGAAGTTGTGTTCACTTTCTGAGCTTTGTGTTGCCAGCTAACTGCTTTTTTTTTTTTGTTGTTGCAGAAATCCTTGGGTGGTTAGAATGATGAGATCAAACGCCTCTGTTCATTTAAAATGACTGGACATATGTTTGCACTAATGTTCTTCTAAGACATTTCCCCTACTCTGCATGTGTTTTTGTGTTCCTTGTCTGTGTCTCCCGGCTGGGTGAAGTGGCACTATGCCCGCAGCTACTGTGGATCACAGCCAAAGAATATGTGAGGTTTGGGCCAACAACCTGGAGGAGGAACTGAAGAGGATCCGACAGGTCATACGAAAATACAACTACATCGCCATGGTGAGTGACGCCCGCAGAGACGCCCTGTCACACAAGGACGCCCTGCAGATTTCCTGGTGTCACAGCGACTCGTCCTTTTGCAGGACACGGAGTTTCCAGGTGTTGTAGCCAGACCGATCGGAGAGTTTAGAAGCAATGCTGACTATCAGTACCAGTTACTGCGCTGCAATGTGGACTTGCTCAAAATAATTCAGCTGGGCCTCACCTTTATGAACGAGCAGGGAGAGTACCCACCAGGAACTTCAACGTGGCAGTTCAATTTTAAGTTTAACCTCACGTAAGACGACTTTTTTCTGGAAAAGACAGGCTTTTCCTATGTGGCATCTACACAACTAACCAAATAGAGCTGTGCAAATCAAATCAAGCCAGTGGTTTTTAGCTGTGCTGCCTGTGAGCGTGGTTGCTCTGTGTGGTTCAGGTGATAACAGCATATGTGTTTGTGTTTTTGTTGTTTTTTCCGACATCAGAGAAGATATGTATGCACAGGACTCCATCGAGCTCCTGACCACTTCAGGGATTCAGTTCAAGAAGCACGAGGACGAGGGCATTGAGACGCTTTACTTTGCCGAGCTGCTGATGACATCGGGAGTGGTGCTCTGTGACGGCGTCAAGTGGCTCTCTTTTCACAGGTACCGCTTTGGAAAGCAGAGTCCATGCTTAAGCATCAACGCCAGAGCTTTTCTTTTTTTTTTTTTTTTTTTACCATGGTATCCGTTGTTAACGGTGAATTAGGCCAAAGGCAGCATCGGCTTCTGCTTACGTACCTTTTCTTTTTCCTGGCTCCTGACCCCTAAAAGCTCGTGGACAATGTAAAAATGTCCATCAAAAACAGGAATTGGTGATTTTATTTATTTTTTCCCGCTGTGTAGCATTCCCTCTTCCTTTAACACCAGTCTTTAAACATCTGGGGGCATTACAAGTCCAACTGCTGGACCTTTGGCAGTGGAAGATTGTCCCTTTTTTTGGGGGACGGCGGGGTGTTGTTGTTTTTTTTGTCTGATGAAATCGTGTTTTGTGTGACACGATGTGCCAGATGTTTGACGTCGGTTTGACAGTGTTGGCTGCAGGCAGGTCAACCCAGCACTCTTCTTCTGAGAGGCCATGCCACAGATGCGCTGTGAGCTTTAGCCCTGTCCCGCTGACATGTCTAAAGCCTTGCTTTTAAAAAAAAAATTGCCATCTGAATCGGAGTATGTGCTCTGAAACCATGCAACAATATGGAATTGGCAGTAATATTTTAAGCCCAGTTTTTTAATATTTCACACACTCTCTTGGCTTTTTCTGGAATTTTTATTTTGTTTTGTTTTTTGCCCGAGTTGAAAAGTGTCAGTCTGATCACCCCAAAGCCACAAAGAGGTGGGCCATAAAAGCCAGAGGCATGCAGAAAGGCTTCCACAGGCATACCTGCTGCCCTACAAATCCAGAGAAGCAAATGCTGGAGGGGAATCGAGCAGGACTGTGGCGCACACGGGTCTAAGTTCCCGTTTGGTGGAGACGCGTCAAACCTTTTCTCATGTCTCTCCCTTGCAGTGGTTACGACTTTGGATACCTGATCAAGATTCTGTCCAACGCCAACCTTCCCGAGGAGGAGGTGGACTTCTTTGAGATCCTCCGCCTGTACTTCCCGGTCATTTACGATGTCAAGTACCTCATGAAGAGCTGTAAAAACCTGAAGGTACTTTTTCCCGCTCTGGCAGCGGGAAAGCTGCACACCTGACTCTCTTCTTCTTCTGTGGTTGCATCGTAGCTGGTTCTCTGGCACTTGGGAGAACTTTGAACAAAGTCTGTCTGATTTTCAGGGCGGGCTCCAGGAAGTAGCTGAGCAGCTGGAGCTGGAGAGGATTGGACCGCAGCACCAGGCCGGCTCCGACTCTTTACTCACAGGCATGGCTTTCTTCAAAATGAGAGAGGTAGGAGCCCCGAGTCGGACAGTGGTCAGAGTCTGAATAGGGTTACTGAACTTAATGGTTCCCTCTTTGTTTTGAAGTATAGGTCCTCCCTTCTATTTATGGTCCAAAGGTACACACAATTATTTTTCAAACAAGTCAGGAGTGAATAAGGCTCTCAATGGCAGCTGAAAGCATGTACACAGAGTACAAGTGGGAATACGTCCAAACCTCTTTCAATGATCCTCCAAAGGCCTTGCATCATCTCACCCTCTGACTTCGTCAGTGAGCCACTTTTCTCTCGGCGGCCGGGGTAAACATTATTCCCACCGAGACACCAAGCCCGGCCGGGCACCGCTGTCTGCTTCTGTGTTGGGCCATGCCATTTTTCTTTTTTTAAATGCCTTTGCGTCACCGCTTCCCTAAATATTCAGTTTCAGGGCCAAAAACCAGGCTCACGCGCTCACAATCGGCTTTTAATTAATAACAAATTCCAGATCCGGTCGTGTTTTTCGAACGTGTCTCTTTTATGCAGCCAGAAGATTTGTAATGTTCAGTCAGCTAAGGACTAGAGACACAGCGAGTTCCCACAAAAAACATGTAAAAAAAAAAAAAAAAAAAAAGGTACACTGAGGTCACAGAAAAGGAAAGGGACAGTTCAGGCTATCAGAAGTGGGCTGAGGGCTGTCTTGGAGACGATCAGGAGGCGGAGTGTAGAAGGTTGCTCCCTGTGGGAGAACAAGGCTTCAGCGTGAGCCGCTGTAGTCTCAGAGCCACCTCCTGGCGTTTCCAAACGCGTCTCACGTCAGACCTTTGTCGGCTTCCCTCCCACAGATGTTCTTCGAGGATCACATCGACGACGCAAAGTACTGCGGCCACCTGTACGGGCTGGGCTCGGGCTCCGCCTACGTCCAGAACGGGACGGGCAACGCTTACGAAGAGGAGGCCAACAAGCAGCAGTCGTGACACCGCCCCCCCCCACCCACCCACCGACGCTCTCTCATCCCGCAGCTCGCATCTACAACTCGGCCCGAGCTCCACGACCCGGACGACAAAAAACAACGGAAGAAGAAGAAAAAAAAGAACAACAACAACTTAACATTTGAATCATTCAGCAGGCCGTCTCTCATTGGCTCAGCTCACCTTAGACAAGCGAACACGTGGGTCAGAAGAATCCCAGCTGTCCTCACTCACGCCACAGCTGCACGTGTGCGAGTTTAGTCTTTTATTCCCGAGGCAGCGCAGACAACGTGGTTGGTTCAGTTCCATTTAACACGCTTGAGAAGATGGGATTTTAGTTTTCCTAGTGTTCCGTAGAGATGTTTTGCACTTTAAAGCTCTAACCTGATTTTATAAGGAAGCTGAACATGTTTCTGTCCCCATGTCTTTCTCCTCAACGTTGCCTTCTGTGTTCCCTTTTTGTTAAGTCTTCTTTTTTCTTTTTTTTTTTACACATGACTCTTTACCATCTCAACAGAAGTTGTCACCACGCTTAGCCTTAACAGCAGCAACCTTCTCTTTTAACCTTTTAATTTATTGTGCTGGGTCATGTGACATTGACCAGCCGCCCCATTCGACACTAGGAGCTCACAGAGGACGCTCACCCCCAGATTTCCTAACGGATCTCTTCCAAAAAGAAAAAAAAAAGGGGGGGGGGGAGCTGTCACTGAGCGTGTTTACCTGCACTCGACTCTTTAAGTTTGTGGAGAATGTTTGTAATGACCTGAATAAGCTGATCTCACTGTGAGAACCACCGGCCTGCATTCTGGCTCTGAAATGGGACGCAGAAGCAAGTGAACGCCTTTATTATTATTATTATTATTAATATTATTATTATTATTACTATTATTTTTGCTCTTTCTTTCTTTTCTGAAAGTTGCTGTTTTCCTGTCTGCTCAGATTAGTCACATGCAAGGTCGTGAGTGGTACGTACCCAAATGCATACAGGTGTTTTTTTTTTTTTTTTGTTTGTTTTGTTTTTTTTTAGTAATTTGAGGAATGTGGATTTTTTTGTGCGTGTAAACACCCTCACTGACCAAAGCACATGTGGTCAGAGGCCCCAGAGTTTAAAGAAAAAAAGAAAACTGTTCAGAAATTATTAAAAGCTTGTCAGTGGAGGTTACCCGAAGCTACTCTGTGGAGAGTAATTTTCGTTTTAATTGACACGAATGGTTTTTGTAAAGTTTTAGTAGCATTGTAATAAAAGAGAAGGAGCTTTTCCTAATAGGAGAAACAGCATTGCTCATCAAACCCTCCCCTCCCTCCCTCCCTCCCTCCCTCCCCTTTGTCTTCCTCTACTTTCGGGCTCCACAGAACAGCCAGCATGCACTAAAACATCCAAAATAAACGCCGTGTTGCCAAGTAGCCGAACTCGCATAAGCGTGTGTAGAAGCGTAGGTTCATGACTTCTAACCTCCCTCTGTGTCCAAAAAAAAAAAAAAAAGGCTGAAGAAAAAAAAACACCTCTCTGGAGCTCATCTCTCTAACGCTGGACCAGAGGGAAAACAAGCATATGCAATATAAAAGAGGAATGTTTTTAGATTTCTTTTGTAAATAAAGGCTTGAAATTTTTTCTACCATCCACTGCCTTCAATCATCAAGTCTTTATTTATTGATTTTTATTTCTAGATATGACTCCTGAGTGATGAGGAAAGAAAGAGGTGAGACAGAAAGTGAGCTCTTTTTGAATTTTTTTAAATTTTATTCCCATAAGGCATTGCAGCTTAACGTTACACTGCCTCACACTGATGTGTCTTGAGTCGCACACAGACAGGATAGAAAAATAGATGTCAAACACCAAGCTTATTTTAGACCAGACCCAAACTGAACTCTCACAACAAGGGAGAAAATGGACTGTACAAAGCAGCTGTTGCTTTTTTTTTCTTTTTTAATCATTCATTTATAACCTCTGAGGTACAGCCTCGACATCAGGTTGTGAGATAAAAAAAAAAAAGGAAACATCTTGACAGTATCAGCATTTTTCCTTTTTCTTTTTTTTTGGGAGTTGGACAGATATGCAGCAGCTTCACACAGAGGCAGAAACAGTCAGGAAACATCTGGCCAGGAGTGTGATGTGGACGGTAGCATCCCCACTCGTGCTATCAAGAGTCAGAAGAGCCCTTATAGGATATAATTACTAATAACTACTCCCCCCACCCCCCCTCCCATTACATCAAAGTGTGTTTGTGTTAACATCCTGAGATGAGAGCATGCATCACTTAAACTTCCACAATACTCACCACACGGGCGGGGTGGGATAAACCTGCCCCCCATCCTACAGAGAAAGGGTCAAAGGAATGTGGGTTACAGCATTTTAACACCTCTACTTGTTCATGGTCATTGTGCAAACATTTGGCAAACGGCTTTTACTTATGTGCCAAGCAAAAAAGACAAAAACAAGGAAAAGACATGAACTGTAACACCAGAAAAGCAACGTCAGAATGTTATTTTTTTAAGTAAAAAAAGGTGGACCGCTCGGCTCCAGCTCTGTGCTTATTTACACACGAATGGAGAGCAGGACGCTGGAATGCAAATTTTCATCTCAGTCCACGTGACCACTCGGACAAAAGCGCTTCAACAACAGCAGGAACAACCAGCGCCGGCGATCACTTTGCTCTCTCTGCTCTGTGGTGTGTGTTACGCTCTCGGAGGGGGCGGGGTGCATTGTGGGAAACCACCAGGATACCACCACCACCCGGTTGCATCCTGACAGGCACACACGCAGAGGAGGGGGGGCAGCACAGACCTGCAGGATGAGACAGAGGGTCACAGGATGCCCGTTTTCTGTTTCTGACTTCGATTAAGAGGAAAATCCCTCCTAAGAGTGTCGGCTTACTTTTCCAGTTTGAAGTCGTCCAATGGAACCACGATTACGCCTCATTCTCTATGGTCAGCGAAGGGTTACAGGCACCTGAGACGCCCACAGATGGAATACAATTCACCATTTTAGTCATAAAATACGCAAAAAAATGTAAATATGCACATACACACACACATACATTACATACACTGTTCAAAAGTCATAATCTGTGTTTACTTCTTTATCTTTTCCTTACAATCTTTTAAAATACTCGAGCGCAATAGTTCTCCAAACTTTTCGAAGGTCTTTAAGAGTTTTAATTTGGACATTTGTGGATTTTTCATTGACCAATTATTTCAGACCAATCAGTTTATTTTTCTGACCCATGAATCATTCAAGGAAAAGCAATTTAAAAAAAGGCACCAAACTGAAAGGATGGACCGGTGTTGTGTGAACACATTGCAGACATTTCTAAACTGTATTTTAACTGTGTAACTCGCAGAATGTCGGCTCATTTCTCTGGTTGTATCTCCAAAAAGCACCAAGACGACAGGTTGACAGACAGACAACTGTGTTTTTTGCAGCAACGTTATAACCTGCAGCCTATCTCAGTATGAGAGTCAACGTGTGTACAAAAACTTTAAGGAAGGTAAACAAGTGGAGGATAGATGAGCATATCTGAAAGGGAAAGAATAAATGCAGCAAACGAGTTACAGAAGTATCTGCACCCTCATCGGATCTGTCTACAGTTCTCTGAAGTCTTATCAGAAACAGTCTACGTGAAAGGGTGGCAGTCAAGAAGTAATTCTTAAGGAAAGGAGACGGGGAGAAAAGACTAAACCAAGCCAAAAGATGCAAGAAGTTCTTGTATCCCACCAGTAATAGGTCTGACCAAAGGATGACCTCTGCATTTTTGAAGCAGCGTGGGATTATCTGACAGAGAATTTAAAAGGAAAAGCAGCCGGCGTCCAAAGAAGAGCTTTGGGACGTCCTTTAAGAAGCCCGGAGAGCCATTTGCTGAAGACAGAGGGTTCGAGCTGTTATAGGATACAGAAACAAACTTTGCCCAAACTACTTTTTTAATGTTCTCGTGTTCCTATTGACGCGCCAGCTTCTTATCTTGCCGACTCGTGACGTTTTGCACAGTGCTCTACAGGCATCACAAGCAGACAGGCAGAAAATGGTTCTTGCCCTTTCTGTCCTTTTCTGTTGCACCCTCACTCTCTGACCAGGAGGGCGTGCTGGTCAGCAGCCGGCTCTGGCTCTCTCTGAGCGGTTTGGAGGGGAACTGGCGGCTCTCTGCTCCACTGGAAGCACACAAACACAAGCAGGGACGTCAGCCACAGCCGGCGGCAGAATTGCCCCGCATCCCAAATCCCACATGATGTCCTCTTAAAAACTGTCAGCCTGCAATTTTGAATTATCATCTTGTTGGCCATCTTTGGCTAAACCACGCGTGACCTTGTTATTGCTCACGTGTTGGGGGCAGAGCCGCAGCCGGGGGGCGAGGAGGGCTGCTCCGGGTCCAGGTTCACCAGGCAGGTTGGGAACGAGCAGCCGTCCCCCGAACTAAAAGAGCCAGGAAAAGGAAAACCGTTTAACAAGCACCACTGTGAAACCTAAACTTCAGTAGATGTAAGCGGCATAACGTAAGCACCCTGGAGCATGAGGGATTTCTTAAAAGCACACATTTGGAAGGAGTCATCAAAATGCTCTTTTCCACAGTAGTGTTAATCAGCAGAAAGCTCCATAAACAACAAGGCTAACCGGCAGAATGCTTAAGAGTCTGAATCATGAAATCTCAGATTGGTGCTTCATTTGATTGCTCATCAAAAATTCATTTGCACCATTTTTTCTTTTTTTTTTAAAGAGGAAACGCTTTTTATTCAGCTAACATTCTTTAGCAGGCAGCTGCTTTTTCAGACTGTGGAACAAAACTGACACCAGCTTTCCTCATCCATCCAATCTGTCCCTTTCAAATCACATAGTTGAGTCTAAAAAGTTTTGATTATGGGATGTCCTCTGCATTCTGTCGGCAGGAGAATTTGTTTCGGACACTCCATTCACTGAAGACCGATTTAGCTCGCTGAGTTGCTTGATGGTGAGTGACTATTTATCTTAGTTTTACTGGTAATAAGTGGAAACTAGTGGGCAGCTGTCAATTTTGATACAAGATTGCCTTTTTTGATGGATACAGACGTTGTGGTTCAAAGAGAATTCGCATCAGAATACAAAAAATAAAGACATCAGGTTTTAAGCTGATGACTATTGAGCCTACATATTACTTTGGCCCTGGCTAAGTACAGCACATGGTTCGACAGTTTGTCGGACCTCGTTTAGCAGCAAGAACCTATCAACTTGTGTCTTTTGCAGAGGACTTTTGAACCTCTCTCCTCTACGTTGCTTCACTTAATTCAGATTGGCAATAAATCTTTATGTCCCATCTCTCCTAAGGTCACTTGATACTTTGATGTACAGAAAAGCTCAAGGTCGACTCGATACCTGTAAGTGGTCCAAGTCCGTAAAACAGGCCCAGCTCATCAGTCCTCCAGTGTAAGAGTTGGTATAAGGTCATTGTGCTCATAAACTGTATTCGCCTTTAACCACACTTTTCTACTTTGATCTCATGTGTCTTGTGGCTTAAATACAGACTTTACTGGTTCCAACTTTCCTGAACAAACTGATGAACCTTCTGTTTTTTAGAGAGGTGCTGACACCTACTGATGACTGATTAATCAGTGCATTTGAACAACAGCAGGGATTTCCTGTCTGAACGGTAGTGATATACTTGTCATTTGCTAAATGGGTTAGCGTTCCCCTCATCTAAATGCTCACTGCACAGGGCTTTGACATCCAGTATGCAAGAGTTCTGGCCAGAACCAGGAAGTACGAGCATATCAAGTCAGTGCTCTGGTCGAATTTTGACTTATTTTCTTTTCAGTGCCCACACAATAGCTCATCTTACCTGGAGAACACGGGAAGAGGCCAGTATTTGACCTCGTCGCCAAAAACCTGGCGGAAGTTCTTACTGAAGCCCAGGCTGAAACCGTTCTTGTCCGGGCCGTGGCGAAACACCGGGGCACGCACTGCCTCTGAAAATAACAGACAGAGAGAGGGAGTGGGCCTGTTTCAGGCGGATAAGCGCATCGCTCCCTCCTCAGGGGCCTAAATGATCTGTTATTCGAACAGACGGGAGACGGGAGCTCCCTCAGATCCGACAGGAGCCCGTCGCACCGCGCCTTGGCATCAGTCAAATAACTCTGAATCAAAGTATCTCTGTTGTGCGCGGCTGGCACCGTTCCGCCAGGTGGGACTATCGGTGTCTGTTTCTAAGCTCCTTACGGACCTGAGCTCTGTGTCTTTGCGCTACACTGTAACATACTCCTCTGGATAATCCACCGACCTGAGCGCACGCAGACAAAGTGTCTCCACTGTGCGCTCCTAATGAGAAACAAGGCAGGTAGGCTCATCAAAAAGAGATGATGCTGACACATCGTCTTTTGTGCAGAGATGGACGCTCAAACGCGTCTTCAAACGCCCAAATACAGGAACACACAGACAGGCACCTACCCAGAGTGGATCTGTTCTTACAGACGAGCCAGCAGTGGTAAATGAAGAGCGCCGCCAGGCTGACGGAAAACATGGAGGCTGAGAAGAAGAGGAACAGGATGTGGAACTTCGCCTGAGTGTCTGGGAGGCCTTTCTGAGGGGTGGGGGGGGGGGGGGGGGGGGGG